AAGGAAGGAAGGAAGGAAGGAAGGAAGGAAGGAAGGAAGGAAGGAAAAGTAAGATAGATAGATCAGCAGTAAGGAGCTCTTAACTACTCATCCTGGAGCTGAGAACTATATTAAATGGACACTTGTTTTCAAAGTCTGATTCAATAAATGTAGGCAATAAACACTGTGAGATGTTTCCTTCTGTGGAGCTTGTGTCCACCAAGAATGAAGATCCGGAGAGGGAAGGAAATAAATTATTTGTGGTCCCCCGCCCACCGCAAAACCTAGTATGCTACAGGTACTTCTCAACGTAGAGCCACAATTGACCCCCAAATTTCTGTTGCTAATGAGTTTTGCCACATTTTACGAACTTTCTTGCCAGTTATGAAGTGAATCACTGCAGTTGTTAAGTTAGTAACACGGCTGTTAAGTGAATCTGGTTTCCCCATTGCCTTTGATTGTCAGACAGTCGCAAAAGGTGACCACGTGATCCCAAGATACTGCAACTGTCATAAATATGAGTTCAGTTACCAAGCCTATTGAATTTTGACCATGTGGATACTGCAACAGTTGTGTGAGAAACAGTCATAAGTCACTTTTACAGTGGTGTTATAATCTGAATGGCCACTAACTGTTGTAAGTCGAGGACTAACTGTATCATCTGTTTCCAGGAAGAATGGGATAGGAAGTACAAAGGATGTTCTTTGTGAGCATGGAGGGACATCACGTGTTAACCTGAATTTCTTAAATCAAATCAGAAACATGTCTTGGATTCACATCCATGCCTTACAGCAGGGGTCTCCAACCTTGGCAGCTTTAAGACCTATGGACTTCAACTCCCAGAATTCCTCAGCCAGCATGAATCTTAAAGATCTGCCTTATAGTATAGACAGTGTTTTGTATAGACAAAGAAAGGGATTATCAGAGTATTTTGCAAAGTGGGCAAAATACAAATCTGAGGCAGACCTTCAAAAGCAGGGGACTCCAACCGTGGCAACTTTAAGACTCCTGGGAGTTGAAGTCCACAAGTCTAAAAGCTGCCAAGGTTAGAGACCCCCTGCTCAAAAGCACGAGGAGGAGGAAGAGAAAACAAGTCCTGTTACTCTTCTACGCCGTGCCCTCTTTTCTCTCTTTCCAGCTTTCCCTCACCTTTTCTCCACTCGAGTAGAAGAAATATCGCAGGCGGACAATGTTGCAGTGATCCAGCTTCCGCATGATCTGCAGCTCTCGGTTCTGAAGTAAAAGAGAGACCAAAATGAGGCATGGAAATCTCGGCAGCAGGACTAACTAGCAGGATGGACCAGCCCCCTTTCCTTCCAATCTCACCTTGAAACGTTTATCTTGTAATACTTTCTTGATTGCCACCAGCTCGCCAGAGTCTGCTAACCGGGCTTGGTAGACAACGCCAAAGGACCCATTGCCGATCACTTTGATATCGGAATACGAGACTTCTTGAGGGCGGTCAGGACCCTGGCCGGGTGTGGCCACCACTGTGGTCACTTTACTACTGTCTCCTGAAAAGAGGAATGACGGTCAAGTCTGGATGACTCAGACAGAACGAAAGTCTGATTTAGTCCAAGCAGCCTAATTTGAACTCACTAAACGTCTTTCTCGGCCTTTCCCAATCCTTCTCAACAATTAAACACCCTTAGAACATTTCCACTCCCAATTAAAAAGATGATCTTTGCCAAACCCACATTAATACCAATAAGTGCCTTGGGTGCAATCCCAAAACAACCAGGAGCGCTCCTCCTCCAACACCATCAGCATTGACCCATCAGTCAATTGCCAAAGGCAGCTTTATTCGGAACAGCTGACATCCTGCGACAGTATCTGTAACACCTTCAAACATGCACATCTGCCTATTCCAGGTCCCTGGGAAGGACTTGATAGGTGGGGGGTAAAAAAAATACCAAACTCAGCCTGAACATCTAACTGTGTGATGAACCGTAGTCATAAAAATTAAAAACATTTTTTTAAAAACCCAAGCTGGTTCATCCTTGGCCCCACGGCTCCCAAACTCAAACTAAACTACCCTACCACAACCCAGACTCCTACAAAAACCCATCACACCCCAATTCCTACAAAACCCATCAGACCCCAATTCCTGGCATGCCAGGAAGGAGCAAGTAGAAGATGCTGTAGTTGCAAGCTTGATCATTTAAAGTGTGACGGCGGGCTAACCGGTACCAAACCTAAGAGTCATAAGTCATAAGAGACATTTCTATTGAATAACCAGGGAGATGATCAAAAGGGCAAAGGGGTTTTGGGGGGCACGCGTTTCTTTTTTTTTTTTTTTTTCCCCCCCCCCCCCAAAGGAGCTGGCACTCACTATCGTGGGCTTTACCCTCCTGCCTGCCTGCCTGCCTACCTCACCCACTTTTCCTGCTACGACTTGCATCCCTGCCGAGTTTCTCTTTCAGCCTCGCCATCCCAACGCCCTCACCCCTTGCCTGACCACCCCCCCCCCAGCTCCTCCCCATGGGCCACCACCCCTTGCCAGGCTCTTCTCTCTCCTCTTCCATCCCTCTCCCCCTTCGGACCCAGCAGGGAAAAGCCGGTAGCCCAAAAGAAGGGCACCTTGGGGGGGGGGGGGGGGCCCCCCCCCCCCCGCCCCACCCCCCCCGGGCTCCTCCCCCCCCCCCCAACCCCTGATTTCACCCTGACGTCACCGGAGT